CAGTTTACAAAGTATCACAGAAGGTCAGAGTAGGAAAAGATGGCATTTAAGATGGGATTAATGAGATTTGTGAATAGGAAAACTTTTAGTTTTAGGTGATAAGAGCTTAACAGGAGAGGTGGGCAGCATGAGCAAAGGTTTGTACAGAAAGGTTTCCACTGAAGAACACTGACAGTGAAAGCAGGAAGAATGCAGAAAAACTAATGTCTATTGTAATCTGCCAAAAACCTTCAGAGATGTCTTAACTTTATCTTATAAATGAAGAAACAAGTATTTGAGTGAGTGAGAGTAGGAAGTAGCAAATAGTCTCTGGAAACATAATAATTAATGTTGAATGAATACCAAATGTCATATATTTTACATTTCCAAAACAAAAAAATTTTTTTGTTGTTTTAAAGACTTTATTTATTTGAGAGTGAGTGAGAGAGAGCACAACCAGGGGCAGGAGCAGAGGGAAAGGGAGAAGCAGATTCTCCTGCTGAGCAGAGAGCCCAACACCGGGTTCCATCCCAGGATCCTGGGATCATGACCTGAGCTGAAGGCAGTCGCTTGACTGACTGAGCCACCCAGGCGCCCCCAAAACCAAAATTTTTAGAACTGTACTTCTACATATACAGAAGTCAATTAATCTCAAAGCATATAATTTAAATGACAAATGAGATTCCTGTACACAAATCTACTTTAAAGACTGAAAGACATTTTTATTACACAAGTTCTTATTTCTCTTTGCATACAATATTTACTGAGAGTCCATAGTGTGCCAGGCACTGTGCTTATAATTGTGCCAATTTTCATGTTACAATAAGCTATCTACTAATGATCTCAGTGTTCAAATAGGCACTTGTGTTCCTTCTCCACTAGTGCTGATCATTTTCCACTGAAATATATACACTATAGTTAGACTGAGACAGAAAAAATGTATGGCATGGTAGATGGGTTAATCAACTGGCACTTATGCAGTAATTCAAATAACCTGGAGAGAACTTAGTAGGTGCCAAACTTTCCTGAATTTTTTACATGCATCATCTCCCTCAACCCACATGACACTATGACATACATACTATTACTACTTTAATTTTTACGTAAGGAAAATGATGCTTAGAAGTTAAATAACTTTCGTAATATCCCCCAGCTAGTACAGAACGCTTCATAGTTAAAAAAAAAAAAAAATCAAATAACTAAGGGGGTTTTCAATTATGTTTCCAAGGAACCTTGTACTTTTTATTGGTTTTCTCCAGCCTTTGAGGCAAAGCTTGTTACATGAAGATATTTCAAATTGGGAAATGACAACGTGATCAAAAATGTTAACAGAAATTAGGAAAAAAAAGGATCAAAATTCGTGCTATGCTACTGAGTAATTCAGTGGGGAATACTAAAATTTATCTTTTTTTTTTTTTAAAGATTTTATTTACTTGAGAGAGGGCACACGTAGGGGGAGCAGCAGGCAGAGGGATTAGCAGACTCCCCACTGAGCAGGGAATCCAATGCAGGGCTTGATCCCAGAACCCTGGGACCATGACTGGAGCTGAAGGCGGACACTTAACTGACTGAGCCACCCAGGTGCCCTAATTTATCAAAAATATCTGCCAGAAAGAGAGTCCTTACTGTGGTCTCTAGCAGTCTAATGGAACTTCCTTAATTTTATCTATATGTAATATTAAAAATAAATAAATACTCTAAAAATCTTTGATTTGGGGGTGGTATAACAGAGCTAAAGCCTGTATTATTATCTGTTACAATTAAGTAAAGCTTAATACTGACAAAGAATTGCAGCAACAAAAGACAAAAATTCCTCACCTCGTGAAACTCAAAAATTATACTAGTGAGAATAAATAAAATATGTATGATAAACCAGTGCTACAGAGAAAAATAAATGAAGGGAGATGTAGAGTTTCTGGAGTGTTACAGTCAGGGGAACTCCTCAGTGATAACAGAGATGGTTGAATGATGACAGAAGTGAGATCAAATCTGGGAGATCACTGAGTAAAAGCGGATCCAAGCAGATGGAACAGTTAGGTGCAATCACTGTGAGGCAAGAGAACTTTGTTTTTTAACTAGCTGCACTATAATACTTTGATAACATTTACAATTTTTACAGTTAGTGATTACTTCACTTACCGAAGAGATTCACTCAAATGTCAATCATCTTTTTCTTTTAACTAAATGAACCAAAATATAATTTCAGCTGAATAAAAACAGTATGGAATGACTGCTTCATCTTGTCTTACCCAAAATGAGACGAGCCTGACAGAAATAAAATGTTACTTCCTCATTCTTACTACAGTCAAGCTTCTTCATCAAGACTTATCTGGGATCTATTTCCTAAATCAAGGTTCTGCCACAAAAAAAGTCAAAGCAAGTTAAGTATTCAAATAGAAGCACTTCATTAAAATGGAATGAAGACTAGAGCTGAAAATATTCTAATTAAAAGTTACCTTAGGAAAATTACAAAAAAATTAAGGTGGAAAAATTGTAAGAAATTTGCAAAATGTAAATAGCTAACAATCACAGAAATACAGGCTAGACCACAAATTTTCTTTTGACAGAAAAGTAGTGTTCACTATTCTAGAGTATTCCAAAACCCTAACAGAAGCTTAAGAGTTACATAAAAAATGCTATGACTACTACTTTGATTATTCATCTTCTAAAAATCAGCTTATGAAATATTTACCCCAGGTCTCAATTACAAGATGTCAGTGTATATAACTAGACATTCAAAACCTGCTTGAGGAATGAATGAATTTCAAATTTTTCTACAAGGGAAGCAACTTTTTTTCAAATAATTTTTAAAATTAATAATTACAGCACGTTTAGTCAGAAGAATAAAATCATGGTAGAGGGGCGCCTGGGTGGCTCAGTCGTTAAGCGTCCGCCTTCGGCTCAGGTCATGATCCCAGGGTCCTGGACTGAGCCCCGCATCGGGCTCCTTGCTCCACGGGAAGCCTGCTTCTCCCTCTCCCACTCCCCCTGCTTGTGTTCCCTCTCTCACTGTGTCTCTCTCTGTGAAATAAATAAAATCTTTAAAAAAATTAAAAATAAAATCATGGTAGAAATCACTATAACTAAACTTTTAGGGTGCCTAAACTTACACATGTATTAATACTTCAGAAACAAAATAATGTTCATCTTAACCTGTGTCTATCACAAATCAAAATAAAAAGTGATCTGTAACTCCCTCCATAGTTTCATAATGGTTCAAAATGGGAATTTGTTTCAGCGCATTATTTTATATCTAAAAGAAATCTAAACTCCTCCCAAGGTGACTCTGAGCCTAAAAATTTGAGCATGGGTGGTGAGGGGTTGGGGCCTGGCTGGCTCAGTGGGTGGAGCATGGGACTCATGATCTTGGGGTCGTGGGTTGGAGCCCCATCTTGGGTGCAGAGGTTACTTAATCACAGAATCTTTAAAAAAATCTTTTGAACATCACTCTTGTATGCTCTAATAACGGTTGCATTTATATATATATATGATTTAACTTTTTTATTTTAAAATAATTTTACACTTGGGGCGCCTGGGTGGCTCAGTCATTAAGCGTTTGCCTTTGGCTCAGGTCTTGATCCCGGGGTCCTGGGATCAGGCCCCACATCGGGCTCCCTGCTCGGCGAGAGGCCGGCTTCTCCCTCTCCCACCCCCACTTCTTGTGTTCCCTCTCTCACCGTCTCTCTCTCTGTGTCAAATAAATAAATAAAATCTTTAAAGTAAAATAAAATAAATAATTTTACACTTAATTTGGCTAAACTTTGTGGGTAGTCTTCTTAAAATGTAAGTTCCTTGAGGGCAGAGATCTCTAAAAAGAGCATTGTACACTGAAGATGTCCAATTAGGAATATTCCTGTGGCTTCTGTAAAGGCAATATAAATAATGTTTTTAAATGAGTTTCCTATCAGCTAAGAGAAGCATAAAATAACTGAATTTCTACTTTAAAGAGGGACTTTTTTCCGTTTAAAAATAAATGTACACTGAACTTCCCTAAAGCTTCAAGACTCAGTGGGATAACAAAAGACAATTATTAACTGGCATAGGAAATTACAGGGGTCCTATTAAGAAGCCTTTAAAATACTCACTAAAATATAAAGTTACAGAAATTTAGAAACAAACAATGAAATTGAAGATAGTACAATAGTATACCCACATATTAAGGCTGTCTTCCAAAGGGTGGTCCCCCGAAAATAAAGGGAAAAAAGGGAACCAATCCTCCGCGAGTTGATAAGGAACTTGGCACGTTTCAAGGCACCCTGCCTTACACTGTCTCACCTGACTGTCACAGCAACCCTGTGGCCTAATTTTATGAATGGGAAACTCAGCATCAAAAGATTAAGCGACTTGCCCAAGGTCAGTCAAGAAAATTAGTGGTTCAGCTCTACCCAGAAGAGTGCACTTCACCTGACACTTTCTACTACACATCGCCCTGCCTCCCCGACTGAGGCATTAGCGAGTAGAACAGCGAATCTACCCTCGCCCTGCCAAAGAGGCGGGGGCTTGCCTCTGAAAGCTTTCCCTAGCCGGTCAGTCGCAGAGAATAAAGTTGTGCAGATCACCGATCAGCCCAGTGAAGTGACAACCTGACAGGCGCAGCCCCCAAAGGACCAGCTCTGCATTCCCAGGAGCCCCTCCGAACCCGGCGCCAGAGGACTGCTCCCGGAAACGTCTGAAAAACCTCCCAGGGAGTTTCGCCCCCTCCTGGACACGAGGAACGAGCTGGGAATGAGCCAGAGGGCGGCCGGCCACCCGAGCCAGCCATGTGTCCAGCCCGTCACGCCCGCCTCGCCTCAGCCGGCTCCTCATGCCTTGACCGCAGCCAGAGGCCCAGCTCAGGATCCGACGCAAAGGCTGCCTTGGCCGCCACCACCACCGCAGCAGCCTGAGGAACCCTGGCGTGGCACTCGCAGTCAGGTCCCCGCCCCACCCCTCCAGTTGGGCCCCTCAGCGACGCCGTCCGCGCCTCTGGCCAGGCCCAGAGGACTCGGCCTGCCAGTCAGCCGCCCGCCCGGCGTCCTTACTTCATTGAGCTGGCGCTCCGCGGCCTCACGCAGGGCTGGGTCCATGGTGCCCCGCAGGGCCTCGATAATGGTGTTGGGGTCCATCGTAGCGCGGACTCGGTCAAACCCTGGGCTCGGGTGCTACTGGGCCAGGAATAGCGCCGCTCACTGCGCACATGGACCCACCGCGCTCCGCAGCGGCAACCGGCGCGAAAGGAAAGAGAAGCGCCAAGGCCCCGGATAGAACCTCTTCGCCTCGGCGTGGAGGCGGGAGATGCTCCAGCCACTTCCTGTCGGCGCGCGCGCGCGGGGCACCTTGGGAGATGTAGTCCGCGAGAGCTTTCCGCAGCCCACGTGTCCCTGAACTGTCGCTCCTACAGACAAATCTTGCTTTTCAAAAAAGGAAAAATGTTCAAACTGCACAAGAAAAAATTAAAACAATCAAACGCAAAACATTTCCCATAATAATATACCCATGGTGACCGAGAGGCGAATCCGATGCAACGTGGGAAGCAATCCATTGCTAGTAGCTTTGTAATTGAGGGTAATCTTTTGAAAAGCAGTTTGAGATGTGTTTCTAAATGCCATAAAAATGTTCATAATCTTTGCCCCAAGAATTCCCACTCATGAGACTTTATCCTAAAGAAATGACACAAAAGATTAAATGAGTTTTATGTGTGACAGGTATTATAACATTACATATTTATGATTACCAAATACTAAAAATAGGGTTTTGATTGAGTATCCAAATTTTGGTAGGAACTTTATATAAATCACCTGTAAATGCAGAATAAGACATAATCCCTATTAGAATCCCACCTTCTTTAAAACAGTTATAGAAACAGTTTCAGAGAGGTTAAATAACTTGCCCAAGTTCACTTAGTAAGAAGCTGACCTACGATTTCAAATCCTAGGAGGTTTCTGTTTTGAAAGTTTTCATTCTCTTCACTGAATCACTCTGCCTTTCAAGACAAATGTCAATATGAGGATTTTTAAGCAAATTAAAAGAATTCAATTAAATATTTCACAGCCATTAAAAATGACAAATATTATATACATTGTAACAACACAAAAACAGTTATGTGAGGCTGTGGCTTTGTAACATGGACAAAAACTGGGAAACAAAGCTGGCAAAAGGAATCAATTGATATTCTAGGATGGTGAGATTTTGAGTAATTTCCTTTTATATTTGTCATCGTTGCAATAGTTATGTAAACATATTTACTTAAAATGAATCACAAATCTTCAAATGCAGCTTCTTAAAAGATCACTTACTGTTTTCAGTTTGCAGAAAGGAGAAAGGGGGCATGAAAGTCTTTCCCTGGAATAGTGGACTTTGAAATATTAATATCTCTTATATGCCAACCATTGTGCCTGGAAGTGAGGTTTATATAATTATTCCTAATTTACAAATGAAGAATCCAAGGCTCACATAAGCTACTTAAATTGTGAAAGATCATAAAATTTCCATAATATAACCTGTTGTTAGTTCTATCAGTGTACTGATACAATCTGTTTAAGAATTTCCTCTCCTTGGGGCTTCTAACTGGCTCAGTAGGAAGAGCATGTGACTCTTGATCTTGGGGTCATGAACTATTGATCTTGGGGTCCTGAGTTCGAGCCCCCCATTGGGTCTACACCTAGAGATTACTTAAAAATAAATAAACTTTTGGGGCACCTGGGTGGCTCAGTCATTAAGTGTCTCCCCTTGGCTCAGGTCATGATCCCAGGGTCCTGGGATGGAGCCCTGCATCTCATCGGGCTCCCTGCCCAGCGGGAAGCCTGCTTCTCCCTCTCCCACTCCCCCTGCTTGTGTTCCTTTTCTCACTGTGTCTCTCTCTGTCAAATAAATAAATAAAATCCTTAAAAGAAATAAAAATAAAAATAAATAAATAAACTTAAAAAAAATTTCCTTTCTCTTTCCATCCCTCAATTGTGAGAGCCTTAAAAATAAGGATTATGTTTTATTCACTTTTGTATCCTTATCTCCTACCATGAAGCTTAAATGTCTGCCAAGAATTCAATAAATATTTTAGTGAATAAATGAAGAAAGGAATGAATGAACTAGTGATGACTTGGTGGCTGACTCAGAATTGAAACCTCAGTCTTCATGATTCCAACGCCAGTCCTCTTTGCACTACTACATATCTATTTTAGATTCCAGAATTGACTTGTACATTATGAAATTGTGACAATTATAGCATCGTACAATATATGTAGAAGACCTGACACATAAAAGGTGTTCCAAAAATGTTAATTCCCTTTCCCTGAAACTGAAAGGGAGAAGTGGTGGTAGGAAATACGGTTTTTACCCTACAGTACTGGGAACTGGGAACCAGCAAGTTTTGCAGAGCTAAAGCTGGAGTGGGGCCTTTATCTTGTGCTTCAGAGAGAATAGAGTTCATAGGATGCTAGATACCATCTGGGGAGCCAGAGTTCCTTCCTTTATCCACGCAAGGAACTTGGCTCCAGGACCTATCAGAAGCTTAGCTGCGAGGTGATTAGTACACCCAACTTATCTGTAGGTTTATTATTTATTGTCAAGCCAGTGACACAGAGAATGTGACTTATATGACTGGAAATTTAGATGTGAGCTCCTCCAGGGCAGGGACCATTGTTTATCTCTTTGTGGCAAACACAGAAATGAACATATGCTCAATAAATAAATGTGTGAAGATTAAAGAAAAACGTGATACATTAGGCCAGTATAAACATAAATAGATAAACTTTGTATCTCATCACTCAATCCCAATTCCTAGTACCCCTATAGCCAATATAGATATAATGCCTTCTTGGGCAAGATTAGTCTGAGGAATTCAGAAAACTATAAAATACAAGATTTCAGAGTTGATTTTGAGCCGGAATGGAATTGGACAAAATAGAGATAAGGAACAATGCAGGGGTGACTCGGTTAACTAATCTTATAAATGATGGTTCTCTTGTTCAAACAAACAACAAAAAAAACATGTCCTCTGCAGGTATGAAAGGAAAGGAGGTTTCAGGGAGTGACCATACAGCTATAATATAAGGGAACAAAAAGAATCAATTTTCCCTTTACAAACCTCCATTGGAGGCTTTTGTGGGTGAACACCAGTGATAAGGCCTTGATGATAAATATCTAGCACCCAAAGGTATCTTAAGACCTAGACTGATCTGTCTGAGGTGATTGGATTTTTGTCAAGACATTCCATAATTACTGAAGCCCCACATCCTATATAGCCTATGTTAGGTCTATTTCAGATATCCCAACATTTTAGACAAAATTTCTCATGAAATCTAGTTTTTTCAATAATGGTAATCATTATACTTGTAACTAAGTGAAATTCATTTTTACACCTTGGTAAGATTTTTACTCTAAACAATTCAAAATGGAGGGGTTAGGGTGCCTGGCTAGCTCAGTCAGCAGAGCATGATACTCTTGATCTTGGGGTGGTGAGTTCAAGCCCGACATTGGGGGTAAAGTTTACTTTAAAAATAAATAAATAAAACAAACTTTCCTGTGCAATATCCTTTCCTAGGTGTCTGCTCACTCCTGGGACCACAATGGGGGAAAAAAAAGTGGGGCTTAAAAAAAACGACAAGGAAGCTAAAAAAAGAGTGACTGATTATGTTCTGAGGCGTGTACAAACTCTTCCACCTCTAGTAAAGCTTTTATCTCACTGGCCCTCATTTTTTGTTTCCACCTGTGAAATGAGTAAATAATCCTACCCAGGCTCCCAAAATTATTCTGAAAATCAAATGAGGTTGGGAGGGGCGCCTGGGTAGCTCAGTCTTAAGCGTCTTCCTTAGGCTCCGGTCATGATCCCAGCATCAGGCTCCTTGCTCAATGGGAAGCCTGCTTCTCCCTCTCCCACTCCCCTGCTTGTGTTACCTCTCTCACTGTCTCTCTGTCAAATAAATGGATAAAATCTTTAAAAAAAAATGAGGTTGGGAAGTGCTTTGTAATTATAAAGCTCAGAACAAAAGTAAATTGTTATTGGTATTTTAAGGGAAGGGCTGAGGAGAAAGGAAAGTAAGAGGGCAAGGAAGGAGAGTTAATAGAAGGTGACGAAATGAGGACTTTCTGCAGAGCATCCTTCGTAGCAGCTATAATTCTGCACGTTCAGCAGCTTGGTGTGTAAAGCTTAGTATGTGCAAGAAAAGGTAAAAGACAATCTCATACTGAAACTGTCAAATGAAGACCATTCTTGGGGCGCCTGGGTGGCTCAGTTGGTTAAGCGACTACCTTCGGCTCAGGTCATGATCCTGGAGTCCCGGGATCAAGTCCCGCATCGGGTTCCCTGCTTAGTGAGGAGCCTGCTTCTCCCTCTAACCCTCCCCCGTCTCATGTACTCTCTCTCTCTCTCATTCTCGCTCTCTCAAATAAATAAATAAATCTTTAAAAAAAAAGACCATTCTTTATTGCATTTCTTTAAATACACAGACTTACACAAAATCGGAGTTCATGCCCTAAACCATATAAACAATTTTAAAGATCAACTTCAACAAAGTATAATTTACATAAAGTTCAATGAGGGTTCACAAAGTTATACACTCATGTCACACTAACACAATCAACATATAGATTATCTCCACCAGCCCTTCCCAGTTAATCCTTATGTGTTCGGTTCTGTGCCACATACACCCACTGATGTACTTTCTATCACTATCAATTAGATTTACCTTTCCTACTGTTTCATATAAATGGAATCATGCAGTAAGTACATTTTGTGTCTGGTTTTTATGCCATGATGTTAAGGGTATCAGTAGTTCCCTCCTTGTTGCTAAATGGCAGTCTGTTACCTGATATACAACAATTATCCATTCATCTGTTAGTGGACATGCGGGTCATTTATAGGTTTTCACTATTGTGTATTAAGCTGATATGTACATTCATGTACAAATCTGAGTATGGATATATGTTTTCATTTCTCTGGTAAATAGCTAAGAATGGAATGGTTGATTCGTATTGTTAAGCGTATATGTAATGTTATAAGAAACTGCCGAGGGTGCCTTCTGCTTGTGCTCTCTCTCTCTCTCTCACTCTGACAAATAACTAAATAAATATTTAAAAAACAAAACGAAAAACAAAAAACATAAGGGTGCATATATCTTTTAAAATTAGTGTTCTTGGGGGGTGCCTGGGTGGCTCAGTCGTTAAGTGTCTGCCTTTGACTCAGGTCCTGATCCCAGGGTCCTGGAATCGAATCCGGCATTGGGCTCCCTGCTCGGTGGGGTGCCTGCTTCTCCCTCCGCCTGCCACTCCCCCTGCTTGTGCTCTCTCTCTCTGACAAGTAAATAAAT